GTGGCTCACCTCTGCGAAAGATAACGGATGACCAGGTAAGATACATGCCTGCTGACTACAGCTGTGATTTTGTTCATATGAAGATGAGTTTTGCTGATAGCCTCCACTGTTCTGGTTCTTACCTATTTCAAGGGCTTATGTTATTATTTTTCACTTTCTCAGTTTTTTTTTTTTGTTTTGTTGCATTTATCTGGCCATTTATAATGTATTACATAATATGCACTTGCTGTTATGCTAACAGTTTGGTATCTCTTTCAGGCAATTGCACTTAGAAATGCATTGGAAGCAAAGGAAATGCCTGTAAATGTCTATGTTGCAATGCGATATTGGCACCCATTTACTGAGGATACTGTTCCATAGTTCAGCAGGCAAGTCTTAAACAATGTCGTTGTCATGTAATATTTTTGTATGCTCTATCGTCATCAACTTGTTTGTGATTCATTTTCACCTACTATGTATCCTTCTCTGAATTTTTGTTGTGTTAGAAGTTTCCATTGTATTGATCTCTGCCACATATGCTCGTCTTGCTTTGTGTTTCTAGGTCTATAAGTAAAAAGGTTTGTTTTTATTTTTTCTCTTATTTTTGGTCTAAAAAGTTAGGTTCACTAAAGGTAAATCAAACAGAATAATTGAAAATATTTTAGAATTTATTTTTTTACTCACCTTTTTACACCTACTAAACGGTGTGCAAGAACTCATCTGGTCAACTTCTGGAAATACTATGCTTATTATCTTCTGTTTGAACAAGTTATTCATACTTAGTTATGTGGCCAAAAGTTTTGTATCCCTATTCACTAATGGACTAGCGACATATTGAGATCCATTATTTGCTAATTGTTTTGAGCCTAGACTCTCTCCTGATAGTTAAAATTCTTGGGCCTTTATTCCTTTGAATCAAGGTTGATATTTTTTGGGGTGCACATAAGATTTTCAAACTTGTGCATTATGGGAATTGGGGTGTTGGCAGACTGAGAATTTTGTTAAACAATTGATCAAATTTTTGCCAATTGCTGATAATTTGGAACTCCTTGCTTGAATTCCAAACTAAAAAATATGCTCTAATTGGAAGTGAAGATCAAAACAATCAGTTAGAGAGAAATAAAGAACTAAGAAAAACTCATTGTTTTATGCACCAGAAACCAAAATATGGATTTTGGAAAATCTCCTCATCAAAATATTATATCAATATGTTTATTATATTGTTTATTTCTCCAAGAGGCTCAATTATCCAATGTTAAATTAATCAATGGCTTTTGCTGTACGTGTACCTGAAAAGTATCCAGTATGAAAGGAAATCAAACCAAGCCTTAATACAAACAGCAGATAATATAATTGTGAGAAATTAAGTCACACCCTACACTTGATCGCACTAGTGTGATCAACCTTACAACTACTAGTGTGATCAACCTTACAACTACTCGCTGACAACATTCCTTGTCACATATTCAATATATTCAAGTCAAAATAGTGACATTTCTCCTTTATCCACCTCAGATTAAGAGGGACAGGATTACAAAGCTTGTTGTGCTGCCACTTTATCCGCAATTTTCAATCTCCACTACTGGATCAAGCATTCGTGTTCTGCAAAACATCTTCAGGTAAAATTTTGTTTCATTGTCTAAACTTCTTTTTTTTGCTAGCATGCATATGTTATTTTTTGTCCGGCATATAGTATTTCTAATCCTGAGTTATATGTCAGGGAAGATGCATATTTGTCAAGAATGCCTGTTTCAATTATACAGTCCTGGTATCAACGAGAAGGTTATATCAAGTCTATGGCTGACTTGATTGAAAAGGAGTTGGAGAGTTTCTCTATGCCTGAGGAGGTGGATTTCATTATTGCCTTATTTGACGTCATTTCTTGATGCTTTGTTGTTGGTTGAATTGTTGCTGCTGCTACATGCATGGCTTAGTTTTCTTATGGTATTCCAGGTCATGATATTCTTCAGTGCCCATGGGGTTCCAGTCAGTTATGTTGAGGATGCAGGAGACCCATACAGAGATCAGATGGAGGAGTGCATTCACTTGATAATGCAAGAGTTGAAATCAAGATATATCAACAATGATCATACACTTGCTTACCAGGTTGGTTCTTAGATATAAGCTATTAGTTTCTGGCTGTTTCCAAGCTTTGCATGGTTAATAATTCCCTGTATTAGTAATCATAATTTCCACATAACAATCCCCTGTGGGTATTTGACATGTTTGGTTTTTCACATTTTTTATTTGTTTTTTCCTCTATGATAGAGCCGAGTTGGGCCCGTACAATGGTTGAAGCCCTACACTGATGAAGTACTTGTTGAGCTTGGCCAAAAAGGTGTGAAGAGTCTTTTGGCTGTTCCTGTAAGGTATGGTGTAAACAATTAAGTTGCATTCATGGGTTTTTCTCTTCCTATTGACATATTTCTTGAAAATACAATATCACCTTTACCATGATTGGGGCTTGGCTTTTACAATGCATTTTGAAGAATGCACCACTCAGAGCTCTAATTCTGTTGTTTTAAATTTGCTGAGTTCCATAGTTTCCATGTGTTATTCTTTCTTGTTTGGTCCTTAACCTGATCATGAACCATCCTTCTCGTTTAACTATCTTAGATGAAGTTTATAGGCTTTACCTTTTAGAATGGCTATTAGACCAGCGATGTTGTATATGACGGAGTGTTAGGCAACCAAGAAACAACATGTAGATAAGATAAGTGTTGCTGAGATGGTAAGGTGGATGTGTGGTAAGACTAGACTAGACTAGACAAAACAGAATTAAGAATGAGTGTATTCGGGAATGGGTAGGAGTAGCACCGATAGAAGATAAGTTGAGAAAGAATTGATTGAAATGGTTTGGTTATATTCAACGAAGACTAATAGAGGCAGTAGTGAAGAGATACGATACAGTGACGGTAGATGGAAATGTTAGGGGATCGGGTAGGCCTAAATTAACGTTGGTTAGTGTTGTAAATAGAGATATGAATCTACTTAATTTGACTAATGAACTGGCCTTTGATAGAGCCGTCTAGAGAAGAATGATTTATGTATCCGATCCCATTTGATGGGACTTAAGGCTTAGTTTACCTTTTAGATACTTTACATTGGTATGAGCTACGTGTTACTTTCAGAATAGTGCAATGGATCAGATGCATAGGTTGAATGCCTCGCTTTATGCTTGGTTACCTGTGATTAGGTATTTTTTGAAAAGTTTCGAGGACTTTACAACATGCAACCTGAATTTGTTTGCCCAATACCATCTCTGGATTTGATGCCGTGGCTATTATATACACCGCAAGGACCCTAACCTGATATCTCTTACTAATATTAGTGCTCCCACTAATATTAGTGCTCCCACAATGATGATGGTAACAACTAAAGTTTTACGCTATTCATTAAATAATTGAAAAATGACTTGACCTGGTAAGTGAAAGAAGGTGGTTGCCTGGGGATATTAGCCTTGACTCATTTTTCTGATTTATTTTTGTCATTCTTCAAACAGGACAGGAATTTTGTTGTTGATTTTTTTGTTACCCTAATATGATTTTACCTAATAATAGGGGGATAATAGGGAAAAACATCAAACTTATGTAGTTTTTGTGCCCCTGAAATCGCAGCTTTGTGAGTGAGCACATAGAGACGCTTGAAGAGATCGATATGGAGTACAAGCACTTGGCTCTTGAATCCGGCATTGAAAACTGGGGCCGTGTTCCTGCCCTAGGTTGCACCACTTCCTTCATTACAGATCTGGCCGATGCAGTTATTGAAGTCCTACCTTCAGCCACAGCCATGACAACCTCAAGTACTAATTCTGAAGAAAGTGACTATGATCCAGTTGGTTATGCTATCAAAATGTTTTTTGGTTCAATCTTGGCATTTGTTTTGCTCTTATCACCACAAATGATAATGGCATTTAGGAATCATGTCCTTTAAAGGTTAATAAGATATTGAAAGCACTGCTGATATACAAAGCTATAGTTAGAGGGAATAATAGTTGAAAGTCGAGGCATGGTAGCATTGTGAACTTTCTCCAAGGCTTCTCTTGGGATTCTTCCATTCCCATTTTTTGTTCTTTTGTTTATCCTGCTTTTGTTTTCTTTTCTAGGGAAAAGAAATTCCTCTCTCACAAAAACAAGCCAAAAAGCACACTTTTAACCATCTTCCCAAAACACCGATATATGAGATTTTGAGATGTTATTTTTGTAAGTAGAGAAGACTCTGATTTTTAAAAGTTAAACTTCATGCTCATTTGGCCTTTGTATTTTGAAAGTATGCAAATCTTCGAGAATTTGAATTTCAAGTCTATATAATGTAATGAAACAAATTCAATGAAGTAACCATTAGTACCCATGTTGGGTTATTTGTTCTGTCTCTTTAGCAGAACTGTTTGAATCCAGTAAGTGCAGATTAACATTTTAATGTCATTTGTACAAAGTTTTTGGGGAGCTTGATTGGTGATTTCCCATAGCTCCTTTGAATGAGAGTGACTGTGAATCATGGGAACTTATTAAGTTGGAGTTTTGGTTTAATTTTTGTAGTTTAACTTCTTTAGAGTTTTCTACTCCAATTCAGTTCTGCTGGTTTAAGAAGAGGTTGTAGAAGAGAAGCTTTTTTATGCACAGCTATGGAGACAAAAGCAAGAATGATGCTTTTGGTATTACATAGTAGAAAGCCAATAAATAAAATTTTCTGAAAGTGCATCTTAACATACAGCCCTGCTATCTGAACAGGCCTCCAAATCAATAATGAAGTTTTCTGCCCAAAAATTCCAATCAAATACACACTAATTATAGTTGAAAAACAAAGCAATTCCATCAATAATCAGGGCATGAAAACTGATTATTGGAATAAATATCACTGAATGAAGAATTAATAACGCAGACCACACTGAACGGGGTAAAAGTAATGCAATGGATCAAATCAAATATGAATAAATAAATAATATATATATATATATAGAGAGAGAGAGAGAGAGAGAGAGAGAGCTATACAAAAATAGCAACGAGCTTAGCAGGAAAAACGAGAAAATGTTGGGAGGCTAAAATTTGGGATTATTGCTGCAAATAAACTTTGCTCGTTACTATAAGTTTTACAAATTTCTGGCAGAAACAAATAAAATATAGAATGTACTGTGGTCATTGAGTAAAAAACTGATAGGAAGAAAGAAATTTCCAGCATCTCAACTATTAGAATACCTAAACCACATTTTCTTGAGGCAGTTAGACATGGTAACCAGTAATTTTAAACCCTCGTCCTACAATCTCGCCAGCACAAAACCAGGCAAAGCACTCTAGCCCAAAAAGAGCAGCGATACCAGCATCCTCAATCTTCATCTCCTGCCTGTTCTTCAACAGTTGCTTGACATAATCAAGTTCCTTCCAGAATGATTCATAACGACCAGGAATGCTGTCCTCAAGAAGTAATCAGAAGCACAGGCTGTTTAACTCATAGCACTTGGCACGATAAGATAAAATTATAAACTACAATACTAATTTTATTTCCCAATAGTCTTAGGAAGATCATTTTGTTCACTAGAGTTGAAAGATCATTTCATACGAAACAATAATTTATGAATTTGTTGAAAAAAGGTCCGGTTTTAACAAAATAGTGCATAAGAAGGCAGGGTTCATCATTTAAATGTAGTCATGCCTGGTTGAGCCTAAAAGTTGGAGTCATCTAAGAGGAAAACTAGCAACAAGAGAGAAGAAATTAAGAATATTTACATATTTGTTAATATTGATTAAGTAGAACATAGAGGGCACGCATTAAACCATTAATACATTGAAAACTCCAAACAAGAAGGAAATTTTCAACTTTGGTCATATATCTCTCATGACGAGTAAAGTCGCCTTGCCTCAAGGGTGCTTCAGTGTGCCTAGGTGCGCCTTAATAACACGGCTTGAACTTACAGTCACTTTTATTCAGAATTAAAACATAATTTGGAAGTTGTTGGGCAAGCAAGGGAGTTAGTTGGACTCAAAGGACAAGTCAACCTAAGCCTGAACTATAGACTGTGCAGCCCAATACGTTTCTTAGGTTTGGTCCCAGTTTTTTCTGTTCCACAATGCATAATGCAACCCTAACCAAATTGTTTTTACAGTTGAGTAATATTTGCTTAAATGTAGAGCATCATTGATATAACAACTCCCTTGACCATCAAAATTGCCAAAAGCCATGAGCAAAACAAGCTATTCTACCAAAATGTTAGCCTTGGTTCAGATCCAACACAATCATCAGGCCTATAAAACAAGACTCAGCCAAAATAGCTGAAACTTCGGCAACTTAGCCGATATAAAATTTTAGGATAAAAAAGATGAGATTTAGCTAGGCAATGAGACATAATTTGCTTCCATGAACCTATATGGGTTAATGAGACATGTCAACTGTAGAACTAAGATTCCTACTTACTAGATCCAGCCCCAAAAATGACACAATAAAACATCTTAAAGGAATCTCATCAATAAACATGATCAATTCCAAAGATATATTGTAGATATATGTAGAAAATTAAAGTTTCAGTAGGAATAAATGAATAACCTGGCAAGTCGAGTGTAAAACAGTTGATTTGCCAAATACTGGCATTTCTCCACGGTAGGTGGCTCCTGGATATATTGTTTGTTCTGCTCCATCAGCTGCTTGTAGTAGGAACATCCGTGCTTGGAAACAAGCTTTGAAGCCTCGGCTACCTTTGATTGCAATAGATGCAACTTTGATGCCATAATTTCCTCACCTACAGATGATCACACCAAATTAAACATTTTAAGCACAACACACGAAACACATTTTCAAAACTATATCCACCATTTGCAAGACTTCCATTCCCTACTCTTTTTTCATCACATACGTCATCCCACAAACTTCAACAAATTCCAAAACTAAACACGGGGTGATAAAAGAATGATACTCCAATTATGACATTTAGGTAGTGTTGGGTTCACTGGAATGAAATGGAATGGAATGATTATTCCATCAAAATATTCATTCCCAAGTTTGGTTGACTAAAAAAATGACAAAATACATTACAGATGGAATCATCATTTGTCATTTCAAGGGAATGGCCATTCCATTCCATTCCAACTCATGCCACTGTACCAAATAAAGCATTAGGAGCCAGAATAACCCTTTAGACCCATCATTGCTTTTACATTCTAAGGGTTTGAAATGGTTTTTGAAATCCAGTGCACAATCCATTTTGTGGGTTGCTTTGAAATGAGATTCAAATACAGAATTTTGGTCCTTCATAGCATACACAACAAATTTCAAACACCAAACAACTGTTTGTGAACTTCAAATCTTCAGCAACTATGAACAACATCATTCAATTTCAACGAAAATGATAGTGAATTCAAAGATCAATTACTCTTCTAACACAATCAATACGATAAAATTCTTGCAGAACCAACAAAGATACACGCAAAAAATCAAACATACAGAGACCACAAATGAAATGCTTACACACTATGCATGCATATAGAAGTGTATACGTATATACATAATCATCAATCAATATATAGCAGAATCATAGAGACGAGTTTCAATTCAAACCTTTGCTCTTTATTATATCTCTGTTTGTGACTTATGAGAGAGAGAGAGAGAGAGAGAGAGAGAGTAGGGTTTTGCAAGCTCTATACTTTTGCGCTGGGGTTTGGATATCTCTCCAATTGCTCTCTCTCTCTCCGGTTTCAACAATTATCACTATAACAAAATTCTCCAATTTTCTAAAAATATTTCCAAATTTTTCTTTACATTTTTTTAATCAAAAGAATGAATCCGATTTCTGTAAATATTTATTGATTTTTTTTTTTGCAATTTTAAATATTACTATTAATTTTACACATTTTTTATTTTTGAATAATTCTTGTAAATGAGAGCTTAAAATTTTATGTTTTTTTACACATTTTTATTATCAATTTTTTTTTTTCCCCCTAAGATAAATACAAACATCTTCTCTTTTTTGTTTCAATAAATTATTCTTATTTTTAATAATTTATTAATATCCATGTGTGATATTTCAATTGACTATTTTTGTACATTTTCAAATAAGAGCTCAAATAGTAAATGTTTGTCAAAGTTAAAATTAATTATTTCTTTTCTATTGCGAATTTATTTAATTGTCATAATGTAATTATTTATTTTTATTGGACTTTTATTGAATATAAGATTGGTTTGGCCAATGTTTTTAGCTATCTTGTACCATTTTATAATTACTCTTTTTAGTTCAGAACCAATAAGTAACGAACCTATTTATCTTACAGTGATGCTAGGGGCTTGAATTGTCAAGGCTTGAATATTTCGATAATTCTTTTCTCTTCCATTTTTTTTTTCTTTCTATTTGTTGGAGTTGGTTTGGTTTTTTTTTTTTAAAGTTAGGACGTATTGGGTTGGTTTTTTTTTTAAAAGGGTTGTTATGTGTAGGATTTATCCAAAAATTAGACATCTCATACCAATTCAGCCTGGGTTGGACTGGTTAGGTGATAAAATTGTTAGAACCCACAATTGTATAAATTAAATAAACAATAAACAATAAAATAAAATAATTCAGAAAATAATTATATAAATTATTCCTCAAATTAAATGCTTACAGAAATTAATGTCGAGGCTTTTGTTGGACACAATAGATTTCTCCCTTGCTCCAATACTTCGAGTTAAAATGGCGTCTACTTCCCAAAATGCAAAGACTAACACTTGATTTTACAGCAATATAAAATAAAGTCTGGTGAATCAAAAAATGTTGTAACTCTTTCTCTTTATTTTCTTAAAAAAAAATACAGAAAAAATGCAGAGAAACACAAAAAGGGAGAAAGAATTTATGATAGAAAAATCTGATGAAATGAATTGTTGGAAGCAACTTTTATATAGGCAAATTGGTGGCTTTTCTGAACATAAAACCTGTTCGGATGGATTCAACAGGTACATAACCTGTTTGAACAGATAAACGGTTGAAATCAACAGGTGTGGACTTGTTTTGACCCTTCTAAACCTATTCCGTGATGGGTAAAACAGTTTGGGTGAAGGAAAAAATTTTGGATCAATTTATTTTGAATTTTGAAATCAAAATAAAAAATGAAAAGAAATCACAAGTGTTTTTCGCCCAAAAAGATAAGTATTGGGCCGGACAATCCCAACCCAACCTCACACCATGCACCCGCGCCCAGACCCAGCCTACCCGACTGACTGGACGGACGACGGCTGCGCGCGTGTGGTTTTAATTTTGGATCTAATGGGTCTAGCCCACTACATCCATAACCTCACCCTTTCACAAACTTGGGTACCCTTTGGGGCCCATCCCAAGTATCCAATGCTAAGGTTTATAAACCCAAACAATTCCTCAAGCCTTTCCAATGTGGGACAAGCACATTTCACAAATGTGTAGTAAACCCACCAAAATACATTTTCACGAACCTGAAAATGCGCGTTGAATTTTCATTCATCCGGAAATGTTTTTGAGCAACCAAATACATGAATTCATTCACTACGCGACATTAAACATGAACTTAATTAGAAACGTTAAAAATAACGCTTGGGCCCCACCTTAATTAATGCTCAAAGTTAACAAAAAATAAGGCTATACAGAAGCCATTTTTCAACAATCCCCCATATGAATGAAATTCACGATAACGAACATTCATCAAGATGCAAACAAAGAAAGAGTACATTAAGAAGATATACCACATCGAGATATGTAGCTTTTGGATTTGAACCTTCTCTAGTGAAAGCCTATCGGACTTACTAGCTAACTAGTGGACACGATGCCTTGAACTGTTCAGCTGTTTGTGTAAGTCAAGACAATAGACTACACATAGTATACCCGCAGACACGGTTTAGTTCTTACGGTTGTGTTCATTTTGGCCCTGAACAACGCCTGGTAATTCATGAGTGCTCTAGAGAATTTAGCCTTCTCAATTCTCACAGAACCGGCCCAGTTCACACTCATATAGGTGATTTCTTATTTAGAGTATCATACTATACCCCACTTGGACGTCCAAGCTATAAGAATCATTAAAAGCAAAACTTATCCTACTAACGCTATAGCTATCACTCTTCTTATCATAGAAATTGGTAGGAGTAAACCTCCTTAGTCCCTTTGAACCTAAATCTTGGGATCTCCAGTCAACTAGGTTGGGTTGCCATTATGGCGACTTTTAAGTAATAGGCTTTAATCACATTCTCCTCGATAAATGGTACACTTACTCTCTGGATAGTCCTTTAGTCAATGAATCTGCAATATTCTCCTTTGACTTTACATATTCTATGGAAATTATTCCATGTGAGAGCAAATGTCTAACGGTATTATGTCTTCGACGAATGTGTCGAGACTTACTGTTATACATATGATTTCGTGCTCGTCCTATTGCTGCTTCACTATCACAGTGAATGCATATAGCTGGCACAGGTTTAGGCCACATTGGAATGTCTTCTAAGAAATTATGAAGTTATTCTGCTTCTTCTCCTGTTTTATCTAATGCGATAAACTCAGATTCCATTGTCGACCTAGCTATGCATATCTGCTTGGAAGATTTCCAAGAGACTCCAGCACTCCCAGGGTAAAGACATATTCACTAGTAGATTTTGAGTCTTTAGTATCTGATATCCAATTTGCATCGTTGTACCCCTCGAGTACTGCTGGATATTTGGTATAATGTAATCCATAATTCTGGGTATGTCTTAGATACCTAAGTACCCTAATTATCACTTTCCAATGATCGGACCCTAGATTACTTGTGTACCTACTCAATTTCCTTACAGCATAGACTAAATCTGGCCTAGTGCAATTCATTAAGTACATCAAGTTTCTGATTATTCGAGAGTACTCTAATTGTGATATGCTTGCACCTGTATTTTTTGGCAAATGAAGACTAATGTCAACAGGTGTTTTAACAGGATGGTCGTCATGCCTTCCAAATTTCTCAAAAATCTTTTCAACATAGTGAAACTGAGATAAAGCATATTCTTCAGATGTTCTACTAATTTTTATTCCTAGAATTACATTTGCTACTTCCAGATTTTTCATGTCAAACTTTTTGTTCAATATTTTCTTTGTGGATTTAATCATGTCATTATTACTTCCAATAATGAGCATGTCATCCACATAAAGACAAACTATGACATAGCATTTGTCTGTGTTTTTAACATAGACGCATCTGTCACATTCGTTTATCTTAAAACCATCTGAAAGCATAGTGTGATCAAATTTTTCATGCCATTGTTTCAGAGCTTGTTTTAATCCATAAAGGGATTTGACAAGTTTACAAACTTTTTTCTCTTGGGCGGGAACTTGAAACCCTTCTGGTTGCTCCATATAGATTTCTTCATCTAACTCGCCATTCAAAAAAATTGTTTTAACATCTATTTAATGTATTTCCAGATTATACAAAGCTGCAATCGCAATCAACATGCGAATAGATGTTATTCTCGTCACTGGTGAATAGGTGTCAAAATAATCAAGGCCTTTCTTCTGCTTGTATCCTTTAACAACAAGCCTAGCCTTATATTTATATATTGAACCATCTGCTTTCATTTTTTTCTTGAATATCCACTTATATCCAAGAGGTTTATATCCTGGTAGAAGATCCACCAGTTCCCAAGTATGATTTTGCAGTATTGATTCAATTTCACTATTCACAACCTCTCTCTACAATGGAGCTTCAGGACTTGACATTGCTTCTTTGAAGTTTTGAGGCTCATTTTCTAATAGGTATGTTAGAAAATCTGGACCAAATAATTTAGAGATCCTAGCGCTGTTGCTACGTCTAGGTTTATCTGATTCATTATCATTTTGGTCTTCACTGCTACCCATAGTAGTATCAAAAGTTCTTTTATTTGAATTTTTCTCTTCAATTTCCTTGCTAGGAAAAATGTGTTCAAAAAATAATGCATTTCTTGATTCAATAATAATGTTTACATGCATATCCGGATTTTCAAATCTATGAACTAAAAATCTATATGCACTACTATTATTTGTATAACCAATGAACACAATCAACGGCCTTTGGTCCTATCTTAGCCGTTTTGGGACTAGGGACTGTAACCTTGGCCAAACACCCTCACACTTTGAGGTAATTATAAGTAGGTCGTCGACCTTTCCATAATTCATAAGGTGTTTGATTGAGTTTCTTGTGGGGTAACCTGTTAAGGATAAAGTTAGCAGACAAAATTGCCTCCCCCCACAATTCCGAGGTAACCCTGAACTAATCAACATGGCATTCATCATCCTTTTAAGAGTTTGATTCTTTCTCTCAACAACTCCATTTGATTAAGGAGAATAGGGTGCAGTGGTTTGGCGAATAATACCATGTTCAGAACAAAATTCTTCAAATGGTGCATCATACTCACCACCTCTGTAACTCCTCACTATCTTAATAGTTTTGCCAAGTTGATTTTCAACCTCAAGTTTATATTATCTAAAAGCTTCTACGGCTTCATCTTTACTTCTCAATAAGTAAGCATAGCAATATCGAGTGCAATCATCAATAAAAATAATAAAGTATTTCTTACCTACTCTAGTTTGAACAAATTTTAAATCACAGATATCTGTGTGAATTAAACTTAGAAGTTTAGTACTTCTTTCAACTTTATTAAATGATGCCTTAATGAGTTTTGCTTCAACACAAATCTCACATTTATGATTATGATCAAATTCTAAATTTGGTAAACATTCTAAAGCAACAAGTCTACGCAAAGAATTAAAATTAACATATCTTAATC